ATAAAAATGTGTGATTGGGAAGCATGTAATTCAGCTACACTTAACCAAAGTTATTATAAGAATGTAAAAAAAGTTAAATAATCCCTAACCTAAAAAAAGGCCCTTGGAAAATGTAAAATAAGAGAACAAGGCTGCCAATCTCATGAGCAGCTTAGAACCACAGTAACCATCAGTCAGTAGTTCTTCCGTATGGATAAATTCTTTCATTTTTGTCATTAAAGTGGTTGCTTGTGTTTAGCCTTGAAAAAGATGCATTTCTTAATTAATTACACTCACATGTGATAATAAGCTATCCAAGGCAATGTGCTGCCATGGGCAAGAAATACTTAAACACACTGATTAGAATTGTGATTAAAAACCTGTTTCATTTTTTATCCTCTTGTTTCTATGCTGTATTCACTTTTATAAAACTAACAGGCATTGGACACAGCTTCTCTCTGCCAGTCTGACTGTGTCCCTGTGTCTGTGGAAAGTATGGACTTGAACACAGATTTTTCTTTTGATGTCTTCAAATAACTTTACCAACTTGATACAGGAAACAATTTAGCAAGTTGCGTTTGATTGAAGATTTACTGCTCATGCAAAATGCTTCATTAAATATCTAAGGTAGGGTTCACTATATAACAAATCAAAATATCTTGTATTTGGTGGAACTTTGATTACACTGGCTCACATTTTTTGCACGCAGAACCATCTTGCAGTTGGCGTCATGTCAAATACTGTTAGTAGTGAGTTTGAGCATGTTTGTCTGTCCTGTTTGTCTCTGTGTTCACCAGTGATGGACAAGAGGACCTGTCCAAGGGGTACCCAACCATCGTCCAATGACATGTATTCTGTGTTTTTGGCAACATAGAGTTACAACATATCAATCTGATTCAAAACAACCAAAAACACTTACTCTGCGCCTTAAACATACTAAGAAACTCCAAATGTTATCCTTTGCCTTTTTAACAATTCTGATTAGCATTTTAAGTGAGGTACTCACAGGGAATGAAAGGTAATAGGACTCTTAGCTGGAAATAAGGTTGTTTAATTGCGCATATGGATCTTCATTAATATTAATTCATTCTATTTCTCTCTGATTATGGTGGTATAGGAGAAGTTGAGTTTTTCCATGCTGTATTGTTTTGAGGCGGTGCACAGGCTGAAATGTTATTTCACGGAGAATGGTTTCTTTAATCAACGTTCGAACAGCAAATTACATTTACAGATTTTTTTAAAACATAGTGCTTAATAGGAAGGAAAACTAAGAAAAAGTCTAACACTTCCTAATGCAGGCAAATGAGCAACAGTTCCTCCAAGTTTATTTTGATGTTAATCTTATATTCAGTGGGTGTTTTAAGCTTCACAGGGGAAGCTATCAGGTTCAAATAGCCCTGATAAAAGTTTTAGTGCATATTTAACATCAATATTATATAACCTTTCTGATTTGTATTCACAAAGTACAACCCTGTGTCTTGTTTTGACACTTCACAAAGTTCTAGCCTTGATTGACTATAAGCCTGGCAATTTTCGTTCTAGGGTGTGTGGATGAAGCACGTCTTTTTTAATGTGCACCTGCTTATTCATTGACATGTGTGTGATGTGATGCTGACTGTTTTGACACAGCAGATTAGCCTGTAAATATTGTGAAGTGCAGGGGCTTGTCACTCTAATCTTTGCCAATTGGTTCAGATGTGATTTGGCTGTTGACTTTCTGCTGCCACTCAGAGCTGCTGACACAATAGAATCTCTAACTTTGAACTTCCACCTTGATTAGCATGAGTAATTATGAATATGTGGCTGCAAGCATAAAATTAAAGCTAAAGGAGGCAGCCTGCAAAGTTGCTATCTCTGTCTTTGACATTGACTGGTCTGTAATTGGTTCTACCTCACGATCAATGAGTGCCCTGCATTTAACACTTGGGTAAATTAGCTGTTTTGTATTATCCTGGGAGGGTTAGGGCGCCCTTAAAGCAAGTTGTGTGTTTTCTTGCAAAACCTTCATTAAAAAAATGTTGAAGACTGTTTGTAATGTAGGCATCCAAATTACCGTATTTTCACGACCATAAGGCGCACTCTCAGTTATGTGTCCCATTTCTGTATTTAACACACACATAAGGCGCACCGGACTATAGGGCGCGTTTTTTATATACAGGTACATGTCCTCTCAGGTGGATTTTCTCACTTAAAAACATATTAAAACTACTTTATTCCCACTGATCACAGCAAATAAAGCTGCAAGGTGTATTTATTACAAAGTATTATTAAAACCTGGGAACCTGCCGTGAGAGACACATCGCTGATGACACAGGGCTGTGATTACTCCTCTGATACAGTTTATTGACGCATAAATTAACTTAAAAAATAGGCAGGATAATAATCTGGATGAACTGACTGCAATGATTAAATTTTCCGGTGGGCTTTCTCACTTAAAAAGATTTAGATTATTTAGATGAAAAAACACCTGCGGAGGTGAGTCCTGATGCGCCGCGCGGCCCACAGGCAGCTGTTGAATTAAGTTTTCAGGTAGAAAAATAGAGCGGGAGCAAAACTGAGTATGATTGTGCTTTATTCATGTATTTATTACAAAGTATTAATCAAACCCCTCAAAGTCCTCATCCTCTGTTTCGGAATTAAACAGCTGCGCTAAATCCGACATGCCAGTTTCCCCTTCTTCTTCGTTTATTGACGCATAAATTAACTTAAAACATAGGCAGGATAATAATCTGGATGAGCTGACTGCAATGATTAAATTTTCAGGTGGGCTTTCTCACTTAAAAAGATTTAGATTATTTAGATGAAAAAACACCTGCGGAGGTGAGTCCGTATGCGCCGTGGACCAGAGCCTGCTGTTGAATTAAGTTTTCAGGTAGAAAAATAGAGCGGGAGCAAAACTGAGTATGATTGTGCTTTATTCATGTATTTATTACAAAGTATTAATCAAACCCCTCAAAGTCCTCATCCTCTGTTTCTGAATTAAACAGCTGCGCTAAATCCGACATGCCGGTTTCCCCTTCTTCTTCGTTTATTGACGCATAAATTAACTTAAAACATAGGCAGGATAATAATCTGGATGAGCTGACTGCAATGATTAAATTTTCAGGTGGGCTTTCTCACTTAAAAAGATTTAGATTATTTAGATGAAAAAACACCTGCGGAGGTGAGTCCCGATGCGCCGCGGCCCACAGGCAGCTGTTGAATTAAGTTTTCAGGTAGAAAAATAGAGCGGGAGCAAAACTGAGTATGATTGTGCTTTATTCATGTATTTATTACAAAGTATTAATCAAACCCCTCAAAGTCCTCATCCTCTGTTTCTGAATTACACAGCTGCGCTAAATCAGACATGCCAGTTTCCCCTTCTGCGCTGTCAGAGTCACTTTCCGTGCAGCGCGGCTCCTCAGAAATAATGCCTGCTTTTGCAAAAGCTTGAAGAACAGAGCCAGCAGACACGTTATTCCTCGCTGCTTCTGCTGCACCTGCTGGGTCCGGTTCACACCGATGTCGAGCGGTTGAACAGCGAGCACAGGGTTAATTTGTTTCCTCATGTTTTTCACATCAGCTGTGAGATGGGCACGCATGGAGTTACATATTAATGGTGATGAGTGGAAAAAAAACAGCTGGTCTCCTTACATTCAGCCACTCTTTCATCATCTCCTCAATGAGGTGGTCTCAAAAGTCGCAGTTACAACACACATAGGGCGCACCGCACCATAGGGCGCACGGCACATTTTGAGGGGGAAAAAAGACGTTTAAGTGCGCCTTATAGTCGTGAAAATACGGTATGAGCTTTCCTGCATTCCACTTAAAGTGACTTTAGTAGAGGGTAACGCTGCTAGTAAAGGGTGCCCCATGATACTCCTGGGATATTAGTGTTTGCTCCATGTTCCCCTCCTCCTTGACATCATTAAAGGCTCCATTTTATTAATTTCAAGCTGCCTCCTTCACCTCTTCTCGTAAGAGTCTAGAATTTAGCATAACAACCTGGAAGCGAACAGCATATCAGATCGTTATATCCCCTTTTTTTCTAATCACATGTTTACTTTTACACAGGTGATAATCTTGTGTATTTCTGGTTTGGTAAGGAATACTGCTCAATTAGAAGTAGCATTAGAGTGAACATGATGACATGAAAACAAAGTGTGTTTGACAAATTGAATAAAAATAGCGATCTGTTTAAATTGTAGTGCTGATCGGATGTTTGAGTCAATCCTCCTTTCAAACACAAAGTCTAGCTTTTTGCTTTTTCTTGTTTGTATCCTTCTCAAAGAAACATAACAAATATCAATATACAGTGTTATACTGTATTATTTATAAAGCACTTGGAATATGAGAGAAAAAGAAGAGTCATCTAACATCATTGTTTGTAAAATCCCAGAATGAAATTGATATTATTTTAGAAACTGCTTATACAATAAGAGTCTCATGCTATTCAATGTCAACTTGGGTGAAAAGCTGTGCTCTTACATTATGTTTTGCAAATAATGATGGGAACAACCAGAATGAAGGAACAAAAGTTCTAGAGTAAAGCAAAAAAAAGTAAATCTTAAATATACATGCTCAAGAAAAGCTTTGGAGGATTAACAACAAACCAACTGTAAATTTGGACATCTCCGTATTTTTTTCCTGAGTGAGGAAGTCTTTTGGAAAGCTGTCAGGTGCAGATAAACTCCAACAACATCAGAAAAAAGCAGCTTAAGGATGGCTTCCAGCTACCTGTGTTTGTGCTTAGCCCTGGGTTTGTAGGGCTGCGGCCTCGTTTTTTAAAGTAGATAGCTTATCATGACTAACAATACGCCTTCAACTTCAAGGGTAAAAGGCACATTTAGCCTCTGCTATCATAACAAATTTCACCCATTCATTTATCTATCAGTCTAAAACAAGTTGTGGATTTCAACACTACTGACAGGTAGGTTTGTAGTTTTTTGACCCATATGCAGAATTACACAAAGAACGAGCAAATTTTTATATTTTATTTACAAAAATCAGCAAAATCAAAAATCGACTAATCAGGACTGATAATACATACCTGGCAGTGGTGATACCTTGATCATGAAAGATGTTTACCCATAGTGCGGCTCTGCCATTGCACCCTGGCTGTGCTGACCATTGCGAATTCCCCAAATGTTGGATTCTCGGCTGCATAATTTGTGGTAGTGGATACCTCGTATGCGCTCTCCCTTGGTATGGGGAGTTGCAGCCTAGTGGTTAGGGGATTGTGCTTGGAATGCAGAGGTTCTGAGTTCTAGCCCCACTCCCACAGACTGACACTCTGGCTCCCTGAGCAAAGACCCTTAACCCCACACTGCTCCCTGGACACCACAAAATGGCAGCCCACTGCTCCCCAAGGGGATAGGTTAAATACAGAGAGTTACATGTTTTACTCTGTACTCTGACAGTGTAGTGACAATAAAAACGGTGGAGAAAAAAACCGAGGCTTTGCAGACTGTTCCCAAGATTTCCACGAGAATGACAGTGAGATGCAAGAGCTTTGGTACTTGCAAGACCTATCATGCTGGAGATCAGGCAGGCAGGTGATAAAGACTGAGAACTATTGCATGCAGGTGAGACCTTTTCAATGAAGATCAGAGATGATCTGAGGTTCCCTGGAACAATAACAAAGTCCACATCAAAAGATATTCACAAAAAGAAAAACTTCAACAAGAAGGATATTCTGGATTTGGATGGAATAACATCAGGTGAAATCATCCAGCAAAGAGAGATGATCCTTTGCCTGCTTATATACACGTTAGTCATCTTGATTGAAAAATCAATTGTCCAGGTGTGCAGTAACACAGGTCGGCTCAGCCACCAGCAAAGATCCTCTCTTTGACAGAACGCTTACTGACCATAAAAAAAGAAAAACCACAGAGACCCTAACAACTCTTTTATTCCATATATTTTAAAGGATCTCTTGATGTTCCTTATGGAATTTGCTCTGCTGGGTTTCTTGTGTCTGCTCAGCCATAAACAATGTCACCCAACTGTCTTTGTGTGCATACGCTGGAAAATAAACCTTGAAAATCTTCCTTCCCCTTCTTGTTGTGGTGATGTGCCCTTGCCACAGTGCATAACAACCTTAATGTGGCTTGTTTTATTTAATGTGGCATGTTGATTCTAGCAAAACGCTGCAGTGTAAACACAAATTAAGCACATCAGAATGTGAGAAGCACTATATTCTTATTCTAAGATTAAAGAAAATTTTAGAAGCTGAAAAACAAGAAAAGGACTTATCAAACTTTGAAAGCCGTTTTTTAAATTGTGTTAGCAGCTATTTTATCAATTTTTTACACAAAGAAAATGCATTTCAAATGTATTGATCACTAACCAGAAAAAGCAGCTAATCTTTGCTATTCTTTTAGTCTTGTTTTTTGTTTTTTAATTTTTACCTTCCATTTTTCTTGCCACTCTGGTGCTTCCACAACTAAATTTGCCCACTGAGAGACAATAGAGGATATTTCCATTCTTTGCTTCTTTTCTATGTTTAATCACAAAATGATCCTTTTTTTTGCCAACCAAGGGTTAACATAAAAGCAGAGGGGAAGAAAGAAATGTCAATATTTATTAGTGTTTGCTCCTTAAAATTGATTGAACACAGAGGAGTGCATAATTGTGCACCCTTGTCTGTGTGACACCTCTTCTACCCTCTCAGATAAATCTGTCTTGTTCTTTTGCAAAAGCTGTGATTTTTTGTCACCATTATTATTGGCTGTTGTTTGTTTCGCCTTTCACTGCTTTTGACCCCTATTTTATCCTTTCGTGTTTGTTATCTGCTTTTAGATTCCATTAGCACAGTGATAGAGAGGCGATTACACACAGCCCCATTTCTTTTAATACAGCTCAGGCCTCATCTTTGATGGTTTTCATATGCCCGCCATCATACTCTATTGTCTGGGGCACTTTCCCCTGAGCTCTTGATTTCGCCAGCTGTAATGCTGTCTGTATTCAGTGCACTTTGCCATGGTGAGTATCAGTATTTGACACAACTAATAAGGCCTTTCATTTTGATGGAATTCACTCTCAGTCTGCCTGTGTTTTCTCTCAGTAAGGCAGAGCTATTTGCCTTGCTTGTGGGTGGAGCCGAGAGACAGACTGCATCAAACAAAATCGTTGTAGCTGGCAGGGCCTGCCAGTGCTCTCTGACATTTTTCATCCCCAAAGCTTACAGAGTGTGTTGCTTGTAATGTTCACTGGTTGAGGCTTTAAGTAAAAATAATAAATTTTTTAAAAGGTATCAATTCCATGCCAGCTTTTGCTCATGATACAATTAAATTAATCTGACAAGCAAACCTTTCAGAAACAACTGGAGCCTGATTTTAATTGAACAAGTCGGCTCTCATTTCCTCTAATTTGATTGCTACGCTCCTGACTTGCGTTCGATGAACACGCAAAACAAAGCCAATGGGATAATCATTTGTGGTTTAACGCTACTCTTATTTTGAGCTTGAAAATGCTCCTGATTTGCCGAGCGGGTAGGTGAGGCTGTCATTCCAAATCAGGTTGAGTCACTGAAGCGTCCTACATAGAGATGGGAAAAGCTTGAAAACGACTTAATGGTTTTGCCTCTTCATACGTCACAACAAACACAACCGCTTGAGCACAATAATGTGAGCACTGTTGGCAGCATTCATTAATGGGAAACTTCTTTAAGTAAACTGAGGTGAAAGCTTTTAGATTTTTGGGCACACATTATAGATATATAATGCTTACTCGAATGTTATCATTCTGACCTCTATTTGTCATCTGAATATGCACTAGCTTTTTTGTTCCCCACCAGGAAAGTAAAAATAATAATTATATGCTGACTCATTCGCTTATGTTTTTAACTAACACTGGCAAAGCTCTAAGGGCACAAAAGCAGAATGTCAAAGTAATAGTGCCTGAAAACCAGAATGCATTTTGATAAAAAAAAAGAAAAAAAATCTAAGTACGTGTACCATAGGTCTTTATTGGTTTAGCCCTTGATTTTGATGTCAACATATTATTGTTGCAATAGATAACTGTCCCTCTTGGCGCATCAAGATTATTGTTGCTGCTGCTCTTCAAGGCCCGATGGCTTTGCAATTTTCTCCCAGTATGGCAGCAACTATCACCACAAGTCACAAAATATTACAACAGAAATGATTCAAGACAACTTGCAAATTTAAAATCTAGCATGGCGGTGGAGAAAGGTAGATAGAGGCACAGGGAAATGTAAAAAAAAAAATGCAACATTGAAAATTCTCATTTAGTAGAGTCACCATGAAACCACCTTTTGGTACATTTTGAGAAAAAAAATGACTTTGTTTAATGTCCTTGTAGGTTTATATGTTTATAGATGGTGAAGTTGGATGCTGGGCAATGTTCAAGATACAGAATATTCTCTAAATGTCAGGCTTTATCAATATTAGACCTCATTATGTCACCTTAAAATGTCCACACTTTGATATCTTCATTTGCCAGAATGAAATTCTGTCATATGTTGCCCCCTGTCAATCCCCATTGTATGATTTTTATTTCCTTTTGTTTTAGTTCTGTGTTTATCTTGTCAATAATAATGTGTTTGTTTTCAATAACTAACAAATACAATTCTTCAAATGCACATTAATGAAGTTCAGTCATGATAAGAAATTTGAACACTTTACCGGACATATTCACAGCTGTATTCAATTCAGAATATAAATGTGACCTTTACTACATACAACAGGGACAAAAGAAGAAAATGAAATGCTTAAAACAAGTTTTAAGTTAAGGAGACACTGAGGATTAGCTTAATGCCGTATTATCTCAGTATATTAATGAGAAATCAAAACAGGGTTGATCTTTCTAAATAGTTAAGGGATTTGTATGTATGCTCTGAATGCATAGCTAAATGTTTTAACTGATGTAAGAAATGATTCACCCATTTCATTGATTTGCTATAATATCTCTCGAGCTCATACTCGAGGCAAATAAATTATATAGTTATTAACCAAAAATAAACAAAAGACAACTTTTGTTTATTTTTTTTCTATCTTGGTTTAGGCCTGTCTGTTTTACCCAGTTACTTGGATCTGTCTCCTGGTCATAGGGCTACTGCAACCCTAGTATCACAGCTGACCAAAACTTACTTAAGAGAGGTGCTTTCTGATCTTTTGAAAAAATATCTTATGTGGTACTAATCTTCTGTTTTAAAATTGTTGCAGAAAAAGCAACCCCCCATGACAGCAAAATAAATCTCTGCCAAGTAAAATTCAAGAAGTTTCTTTGGAGAGATTGATTTCTTAGGCAGTTCCTAGTCCTAAAGATTTCATTTGAAACAAAATAAATAAGAAATATGTAATTTAACTACAGAGAATGAATGACAGTTTATTTAAGCAAATAATAAAAGCAAGGGAAATGAAAAACGGGTGTGCTATAAAAAGAGTGTTATTTCTTGTTATTGTACACTTAACAGGTTTTTATTTGTGGAACACATGCTATACATGCATTCTAGAATATAGTTCTGCAGCTACTTACCTACATTATTTAATAATGACAGAAATAATCATAATAGATAATCATAAATAAGCAGTTCTTAGAGAATTTTGGTATTGTAATTAAATAATGGCATGAAGGCTTTGGGTTTAAGTTTTTCAAACTGGAGTCAGGAGCCAGATGTAACAGTGGACCAATCAGGTAAGTGTATGTGGTGAAGGCGTACCTTGGTCTGTAAATGTACAGGTGGGTATAGAAAAAATGGTGCAGCCAGCTCTGTGCAACAAGCAGGTTGTCAAAAGTTTTACCTAGAATCATTTTTTGTCTTTTATTATTCAGAAATGTAAGTTTTACATATTTTACTTTGATAAGGTTTAGGCTGTTCATTACAAAAGTAGGTGACAGTTTTCTTTTCTCAAACCAAAGCAAGCCAAAATATGTTATCTAATTCAATTCATTGCATAGAGCAACTGATTTTATTTCGACCACCTCATACTGTAAATAGAGTATGAATGGGTATAATTTTCTTTTTGTAGCTATTAATGCTTATCTTCTTAAAGCTGAATGCATGTTTCCCAGACATTCTTAGCTCCATACTTATTTATTTTAAATATCAAGTGTTTTTTTCTATGGAAAGGCATAATTTTGCTGATGTTAGGGTACAGGATGAGGCTTAAGTCTTCTGTAATTTACTCAAGGTTATCCACAAGTGCTTAAATATTTTACTTGAGTCCCTCCAGATAGCA